CTGAGCAGTATGTGGCGTAGGTCTCTACTGAGGTGTACCCAAAGTTGTGCTTCTTGTGGTGTAGCTGCTCCATCTCTAAGAAGGGCATCTGCAACCTCCATGATGGATGTTTCTGCTGTTTGTAGTAGTCGTGGGAATTCTGAGTTTTGTAGCCCAAGGCAAGCTACCGTCTTGTGCTTCCATTCCTCAAATGTTGCATAGCTTCCTGTGAAGTATGGTGGTTGTAGTTTGTACCTGTGCGTTGATTGCAGTTCTCCTCCAGCTACGGCCACGTTTGTCTTGTTGTACTCTCTCAACTGCTGTCGCTTTGTTGCTGTGCATTGGAGCTCACCCTGTCCTGTATCCTCCAGGGATCACTGCTCCGCTACAACTCAGTTGAACTGTCTCTCACTCTGTACTGACAATCTCCCTGTAGCCCAGCAGCTGTACCATGAGCTGCACTTCCCACTGTGTACGCTCAAGGGCCCTGTATTGAGCCAAGTCATGTACCAAGCCAGGTATGTACCAACTCCAGATATACACAACTGTACACAGGTGAGCATGTACATGCATGGCGGCATCTGTATTACCAATCATCATCACCATCATCATCATCATCATTTTCTCTTGTGTATTATCTTCTCGTCTCCTCCCTCCTGGATTCTTTCGGGCCACACTGTCGTCTAGTGTTTTATCCATGTGCGGGTGCCGTATCATTCCCGGATGCGTAGCAAGGGTTCCCGTTTCACTCTGGGGGACCCTTCGCAACCGTTCGCAACCGTCCGCAACCGTCCGCAACCGTCCGCGACCGTTCGCAACCGTCCGCGTGAGGGCCGTATGGCCGTGCCTATGGTAAGTTTTGCAAAAGGGATCATTTTTGGAGGTTTGAAACGGCGCGTTGCTTTGTTTCGCGTGGCAAGAGTGGCACTTCGTGACATGACATTCAGACATGTTTCGTAACGTGTGGAAAGTCGTTTTGTGTGGCAGGCGCAATACTTTAGCGACGTTTTCAGAAGATGCGTTGCAGTTTTCCTGGCAAGCGCAGCACTTTGGACGTGTCCATTGTCATTTTGCGTCGCAGGCGCAGCACTTTAGACGTGTCGCGTTGCGCGTTTTTGCGAGTCGCATTGTCAGGGCTGCGTCAAGTGGCAACAAGGTGCAAATTCCGTGGCAGGTGTTGCCTTTTGTGAGATGTGATGAAAAATTGACGGAAGCCTCGCACGAGAAATCGATTTTGAGGTAGCAAATTTGGAGGTTCATAAGAAACCCGTGGGGAAACGTTGATTTTGAAGCTACAAAGTAAAGTATGAAAATTGGAGGAGGTCTCGCGCGAAATGCTCGTTTTGATGGTCCAACGTGTCTCGTCTCGAGTCTCTGGTTTTCCTGTGGCCTCGCCGTGTATATGGGGGAAGCTGCAAAACCTCTCCTTTTCGAAGGTTTCCAAACAGGTTGTCATGTCGTTTTGCGTGGCAGGCGTGGCACTTCGTGACAGTCCAACCCGTTTGATAACGTGTCGAAAGTTGTTTTATGTGGCAGGCGCTATACTTTTTGCGTCGTTTTCACAAGATGAGTTGCAGTTTTCGTGGCAGACGCGGCACTTTGGAGACCTCCATCGTCATTTTGCGTGGCAGGCGCAGGACTTCAGACGTGTCGCATTGCGTGCTCTACACTCCACGCTCCGCACTCTACACTCTAGACTCCACACTCCACACTTTACAGTCGACACTTTGCACTTTACACTCCACACTTTACACTTTACACTTCACACCCCACACTTTACACTCCACACTTTACACTCCACACTTTACACTCCACACTTTACACTCCACTCTACGCTCCACACTCCACACTTTTATTTTCACACTTTACATTCCACGCTTTACACTTGACACTTTACACTCCAGACTCTACACTCCACACTCCACACTTAGCACGCCACCTTCTTCCATATTCCACAGTCTACGGTGCACTGGTATGGTAACAGGTAAGAGGAGAAAATGTACAAGACTGTTCAAATAAACTGGTTCACAAAAGTGTTCTACGTGACTGCATATCCATGTGTTTCGACATCTGTGCCATTAACATGCGTGTGAGCATTCGGGTTCGTGGGCTGCATCTTGTTTTTTGAAGCAAAACTAGTTCTTCAATCTCTCCGTTCCGTTAGAAGAACAATGTAAAAAAACTTCAAACTTTGCAGTATTGTGTTGTTCCTATTCTTGGAACCTTGTTCTTGAAAACGTTGCTTGACACTTGTTCATCGGGACCTTGCTTGGGAACCTGTTCTTTGGGAGCCTTGCTTGGGAACCTGTTCTTGGGAGCAAAAGGTGGATTGAAATTTGTTTATCGGAACCTTGTATGGGAATCTGTTCTTGCGGAACTTGCTTCGAAACCTTGCTTCCAACTCTTCGTAACTTGCTTGGGAACCTTATTTGGGTTCGGAACCTTGCTTGGGATTCTGTTCTTGCATCCAAAATTGCTTGCAGCTGTTCTTCGAAATTTTGCTTGGGAAATTATTCTTGGAAAGCTGTTCCTGGGAACATGAGCAACCTGTTCTTGGGAACCTTGCTCGGGAACCTGTTCGTTGTGAAACTTTCTTGCCACCTGGCTTTGGAACCTTGCTTGACAACCTTGCCCGTTTACCTATTATTCAAAACCTTGCTAGCGAATCTGTGATTTAAAGCCTTGCTTAGGAACCTTGCTTTGAATCCTTGCTTGGGAACCTGTTCGTGGGAACCCTGCTGGCAACCTATTGTTCGGAACCTTCCTAAAGAATTTGTTCTTGGAACCTGAACCTCTTCTTGGGAACCTGTTCTTCGAATCCTTGCTTGGGAACCTGTTCTTGCGAACCTTGCTTGCAAACCTGTTCTTGGGAACCTTGCTTGGGGGCCTGTTCGTGGAAACCTGTTCTTGGGAACCTTGCTTGCGAACCTGTTCCTGGAAACCTTGCTTGGGAACCTTGGATTTGGCTGCTCCGACCTGCTGTGAGACCTCTACTGAACTGGCTGAAGACCCCAAGCTTACGCTGTTAGGGAACAAAAAATACAAACAACGGGATTTGATTTAGCTAGCACAAAAGAAAAGTAAACTTAGGTTTTATATGGTTAAATGTTTAATGGAGTATCAATGCGGAGAATGATGAAAGATTAGTGTCAAGCCTCGATGAATAAACCCTGGGCTGTTGATCCCTGGAAGGTGCTTTTCAACGACGGCATTCCGGCATGGAAAAGCGCGCTTTCTGCAAAATTATGCAACTAAACTGGATGCGGGTTCCAACATGTTCCGACCATCGTGCAGCGCATGTTGGGTTTCCATAACACCAATTAGCTCAGCACATGGTGCCGAAAAACTGTATCAACACTATGTCGTGACATATGTTCTTACATCCTATCTTGCATCTTATCTGACATATATTCTGACATGCTTGCTATGTGACATTCTGTCGGACATTTTCTCTGACATACATTCTGGCATTCCATTTGACATATATTCTGACGTTCTATTTGGCATGTTAACTGACATTCTATCTGATGGCCTTCTATCTTCCAGTCCCATCTGACATAAGACATATGTTCCGACACTTTATCTGGCATTCTATCTGCAATTCTATCTCACATTCTGGCATTCTGATATACGGTTCCCCAGAGAGCTGGCAAGCTTGGTGTATCTGTCCGGAGCAGGTGTGTATGTGTCTGGCTTGGCGCGCGCGGGGAGTCGGGAAGCTCTGTGAAAATCCCTCACGTGGCAGGTTCGGGGAAAGTTGTTTCTATACATGTGTTTATCTAATTGTTTATACGTATGTATCTAATGATACATCAGGTACGTGTATACAAATGTTGCTAACAAAGCTCAAAAACCCTTGGCAAAGCAGAATATTTGGGTCGTTTTGCCTTTTTGCCTCGTTTGAGTTTTTTTTTGGGGGCCGTTTTGCCTCATTTGAACTTGTTCTGCCGTGTCCTGATTTTTTTCTGCCGCGACCTATTCCCATGTCACTGTAGCTTCTTCAGTTGTTGCATGTATAAATGCAAATATTTCTGTGCCGTGCGTGTTCAGCTACAACAAGGGGTGACAAGATCTTTGGAGTCTTGAGACATGACCTATTGTGGTCCTTGTCTGCCAATCTTCAAGAATATCAGCAAATGGCAACCTTCAGAGTCTTCAGAAGAGTTCAGGTTGAGCACGCATCAAATGCGATGTTTTGCAATTTCCCATTGAATTTTGCGGTTTGGCAACAATCTTCAAGGTTCCTCAAGGCAGAAATCCAGATTTGCGTTTTTTTTTGCGGGGTGTTGTGCCTTGTTTGCATGCATGTTTTGGTCCTGAATGTATCAATTTGGTATTAAAGAACTGTCGATGGGATTGGAGGGAGAAGAACACGAGCAAATTCGCTCTAAAACTCCTAAAGTTCAGTGCAACTGCAGCTGAGCAAAGAGTCGCACTTCCACTAAACTAAAAAACTGGGTGACAAAATCATGGCATTGTTTTCGAGCCACCACGCCCAGACGAGGCACTGAAACCCCTTATTTGGCGGACATTCCCAGAGGGAATATGATTCACGAACATTGTGGACATGATTGTGCCCTTTACACCACTTCTACCCCTTCTGCCCTTTCTGCCTTGTTTGGCAGTTTTTGGGTCGTTTTGCCGACAAGAGGGTCACAAAGCAAAAAGTCCTAAATATTTGGGAATGTGGAAGGTCCAGGAAAATACAAGTTGGTTACAAAAAGGAGGCTAACTAGTCCAACTCCTTTGCATGGCGCCTAGGCAGCCACATGTCTTCACATGTTCGACTTAACGTGATTCTTGGACGTATCCTGTCATATCATGTCTGTGTAAATATATATATATATAAATAAATAAATAAATATATATAAATAAATATATATAAATATATAAATGTATAAATGTATAAATGTATAAATATATACATATTTATATATATATACTGTATACATGTGCGTGCGTGTGTTTAATTCAATTCTTGCACAAGAGGGTCCTGCAATCAAAAAAGGTTCAGTTTCATATGGAAATCCACAGCCATTCCCACCAATGGTTCATGTCGGAGACATCTGTGGATTTGCATGCGATCACATATGTGAACGCCGCCTGGCTCATAAAACCTCACTGCAAACAGCAGGAGATACATTCGAAAGAGGAGGCGAACCATCATCTGCGTCGTTACGGATGTTTTTCATCCGATCACTCTTCCACTGGCTCTGACGTATCATACCACGTTTTTGGCTGCGTCGTGCTTCAGCAGTTTCGATATCAAGGCCGAAACCCACTCGACAATAGAATCCTCCGCTGGCATCTGCTGGCTCTGGACCCTCAAACATGGATGAATGAACCGAACTGGGACCACAACACTGCAGCTCCCTCCCGTTCCCAAGCCAAGTAGGCAAGTTCCCATGACATGTCGTGGGCCCTGGTTGGCTGGTAATGTTGCGTGCCACGTGGCCAAGCATGACAGTGATGCAGGTGAAGATGGAAAGACCAGTGGAGAAGAAGTAGGGAAACAGCGGGTCCTGGGCACAAGCGAGACCGAGCATCCAATGGTCATGGGGATTGAACCACCCCCAAGTCCTGGCACCCCTCAACAGCAGGTGGTTTTTATTGAGGGATCTCCATCAAAAGGCCTGGCATTCTGTGGTTTCGTACGCCTGGCGGTCCTGCATCTTGATACCAATGGGCATTTTTAGTTGGTGTATGGAATGCATTTGGGGACACTTGGTATGTGTAGAGATATGAGAAAATAAGCGAATACTATGTAACCGAAGGAAGTTTAGAAGTCAAACTTCCGACAATATGGACAGATGAAAAGCAGAGATGGGAAGAGCCAGAGAGAAGAGAAGAGTAGAAGAGAGAAGATCAGAGAAGAGAAAGAGTCAGAAGAAAGAAGATGCAGATGCGCAAAAAGGTCGGAAAGCCGCGAAGCACTGTGTTTTTCCAATGATTTGTGGCTCCGGAGGGTCGAAAAGTAGGCTCGCTAAAGCGGCAGGCGCGGAGCCATCTGGCCAGATGAGAGATGAAAAAGTGCACGACGTTGTGGCGCGAAGCACATTTGCAAGTGAAAAAGCTAAAAACACCTCACGTTCGGAGCACTTTTGGAAGTTGAGATGTAGAGAAAATGCACGCTGTTGTGGCGCGAAGCACGTTTCGAAGTCAAAATGTACAAAACCCATCATTTTCGGACCACTTTTGGAAGTTGAGATGTCAAAAAAGTGCATGCCGTTGTGGCGCGAAGCACATTTCGAAGTCAAAATGTACAAAACACATAATTTTCGGACCACTTTTGGAAGTTGAGATGTCAAAAAGTGCATGCCGTTGTGGCGCGAAGCACATTTCGAAGTCAAAATGAACAAAGCACACCACGTACGGACCACTTTTGGACGTTCAGATTTCGTTTCGCGTGGCAGGCGCAAGGGATTGTGCACCTTGTCAAAAGTGAGCTAAACGTGAGGGTTTTGTCGCATTTCCAAAAACGATGGCAGGCGTGGGACATTTGAAGAGGATCTGCAAAGATGCATTTTCCGCGGCAGGCGCAGTACAAAAGACATGTTCATCAGAGATGTTAGGAGGTCAAGGGCGCTGATTTCTTGAGAGGGGCATTTTGGAGCATCAGATCTGTAGGTTTGCAGCACTTCGTATGACCTGGCATCACTTTTTCGTGGCGAGCGCAGTACTTTAGACAGGTGGGGTGGAAAAATCGCAAAACGCATTGGTGCGAGGCCGTAAGCGCTGCACTCAACTTTCCATTTTTGAAGGAAGTCTCGCAGAATTGCTTTGTTTTTCCCGAGAGCGTCTGAGCGCAGGGTTCTTCCAATAGTGGGGGTCTGTAAAACATCTTCTCCTCTTCACATCTTCTCATCCTCACATCTTCCCATCTTCCCATCTTCACAGCCTCACATCTTCACATCTTCTCATCTTCACATCTTCACATCCTCTCACACATCTTCTCATCCTCACATCTTCTCCTCTTCGCATCTTCACATCCTCCCACACATCTTCTTATCCTCACATCTTCTCCTCTTCTCCTCTTCTCCTCTTCGCATCTTCTCATCTTCACATCTTCTCATCTTCACATCTTCTCATCCTCAGATCTTCTCATCTTCTCATCTTCTCATGTTCACATCTTCTCATCTTCACATCTTCTCATCTTCACATCTTCTCATCCTCACATCTTCTCCTCTTACCCTCTTGCTCCTCTTGCCCCTCTCTTGCCCTCTTGCCCTCTTGCCCTCTTGCAATCTTGCCTCTTGCCTCTTACCCTCTTGCCCTCTTGCCCTCTTGCCCTCTTGCCCTCTCCTTCTTTTCTATTTCTCTCTTGAAGGCGCGGGACAGTGCCAACGAGACGGCACGAAACGCAACCCTTTCGCACGAAATGAGGTTCGATCGCCAAAAACTGAGGTAAAATTGCCCACAGGACGAGGGGTTGTCCCGAAGGGACAACCCCTCGTCCTGTGAGGGTATGGCCCCGAGGGCCATACCCGAGAGCGGGGCTAGCAACACATTGGTGCCAGGGGATTTCCTTGTCATAACAACAGTGACGTCCTACGCATACTTCTAGTAGGGGTTGATTTAGGGTTTACGGTTTACGTAAGTTATAAAATCTCATGGCCCCATGGAACATATACGCATACTTCTATTAGGGGTTTCATTTAGGGTTTACATAAGTTATAAAATCCGGGCTCGCCAAAAAAGTGAAAAAGATTGAAAAAGTGGAAATGGCCAAAACGTGTGAAGTCCGCAGAGGGTTCACTTTTCTGACAGATTTTTCCAAAAAGTCGTCTTAGACCACGCTAACCCACAGATGTACCAGAGTCGTAGAACACTGCGCCTGCGCAGAGAAATGAGCCTCCCACTGACGTTCATACGACCATTCCGGGACAACCCTCAGTCCTGCCCGTAAAATTGCGAGTTCAAGTCGTCCCGCGCAACCCTTTCGCACGAAATGAGTTTCGATCGTCAAGATTTCAAGTTGTCCGGCGCAACCCTTTCGCACGAAATGAGGTCCGATCGTCAGAAACTGAAGTAAAATTGCGAGTTCAAGTTGTCCGGCGCAACCCTTTCGCACGAAATGAGGTTCGATCGTCAAAAACTGAAGTAAAATTGCGATTTCAAGTTGTCCGGCGCAAGCCTTTCGCACGCAATGAGTTTCGATCGTCAAAAACTGGGGTAAAATTGCGATTTCAAGTTGTCCGGCGCAACCCTTTCGCACGAAATGAGGTTCGATCGTCAAAAACTGAAGTAAAATTGCGAGTTCAAGTCGTCCCGCGCAACCCTTTCGCACGAAATGAGTTTCGATCGTCAAGATTTCAAGTTGTCCGGCGCAACCCTTTCGCACGAAATGAGGTTCGATCGTCAAAAACTGAAGTAAAATTGCGAGTTCAAGTCGTCCCGCTCAACCCTTTCGCACGCAATGAGTTTCGATCGTCAAAAACTGGGGTAAAATTGCGATTTCAAGTTGTCCGGCGCAACCCTTTCGCACGAAATGAGGTTCGATCGTCAAAAACTGAAGTAAAATTGCGAGTTCAAGTCGTCCCGCGCAACCCTTTCGCACGAAATGAGGTTCGATCGCCAAAAACTGAGGTAAAATTGCGATTTCCGGGTTTCCGTCACAATCCTTTTGCACGAAATGAAGGTCGATCGCCAATAAAAGGACCGGATAACCCCACATGTCAAGCCTTTATGTATCTAAGCTTAATGTGAACTTCGGGGAGGTGTGAGAAGTGAGGTGTGAGAAGTGGACTTGTGATATCAGGTGTGAGAAGTGGAGCTGTGATGAGTTCTGATGTGATAAGTGAGGTGTGAGAAGTGGTGTGGGAAGTGGAGCTGTGATGAGTTGAGATGTGATAAGTGGTGATGAGTTGTGATGAGAAGTTGTGATGTGATAAGTGAGGTGTGATAAGTGAGGTGTGAGAAGTGGAAGTGTGATGAGTTTGGATGTGATAAGTGGTGATGAGTTGTGATGAGAAGTGGACCTGTGAGAAGTGGAGCTGTGATGAGTTGTGATGAGCAGTGGAGCTGTGATAAGCGAGGTGTGAGAAGTGGAGCTGTGATAAGTTGGTATGTGATAAGTTGTGATGAGAAGTTGTGATGTGATAATTGGAGCTGTGATGAGTGGTATGAAAGGCAGCCGCGGCCCAGCGGCGGCCCGCAGCTCCTCCAGGAGCCTCTCTGTATTGCGCCTGCCAAGCGGCTCTGAGACTGTGTACTGCGCCTGCCACGCGAAAGGCAGCCGCGCCCCCAGCAGCGGCCACGCGCGCCGCAGCTCGTCCAGGAGGCTCTGTGTACTGCGCCTGCCACGCGAAAGGCAGCCGCGGCCCCAGCGGCGGCCACGCGTGCTGCAGCTCCTCCAGGACGCTCTGTGTACTGCGCCTGCCACCCGAAAGGCAGCCGCAGCTGACCACGGAGCTGTGATGAGTTGTGCTGTGATAATATGATGAGTGAGGTGTGAGAAGTGGAGCTGTGATGAGTGGTGATGAGATAAGTGATGTGAGAGGTGAGGATGTGATAAGTGAGGTGTGAGAAGTGGAGCTGTGATGAGTTGTGATGAGAAGTGGAGCGGTGATGAGTTGTGATGAGAAGTGGAGCTGCTGTGATAAGTGAGGTGTGAGAAGTGGGGCTGTGATGAAGATGTGAGAAGTGAGGTGTGAGAAGTGGAGCTGTGATGAGTTGTGATGAGAAGTGGAGCGGTGATGAGTTGTGATGAGAAGTGGAGCTGCTGTGATAAGTGAGGTGTGAGAAGTGGGGCTGTGATGAAGATGTGAGAAGTGAGGTGTGAGAAGTGGAGCTGTGATGAGTTGTGCTGAGATAAGTGAGGTGATTGATGTTGATGAGTTGTGGTGATGAGTTGTGAAGGCGGCGCGGCGGAAGGACGCGGCGGACGGAGCGGGAGAAGCGGCGGCGGGATCCAAGCGAAAAACAAGAACCCCACACAGTGATGTGGGGAAAAACTGTGGTAAAATTGCGATTTCAAGTTGTCCGGCGCAACCCTTTCGCACGAAATGAGGTTCGATCATCAAAAACTGGGGTAAAATTGCGATTTCTTCTGTGTGTACAAAGCTTCTGTGTGCTGTGTGTAAAGGCGTCTGTGTGTAAATGCATGTGTGTAAAAGCCTCTGTGGTGTAAAAGCGTCTGTGTGTAAAAGCGTCTGTGTATAAAAGCGTCTGTGTGTAAAAGCGTCTGTGTGTAAAAGCGTCTGTGTGTAAAAATGTCTGTGTGTAAAAGCGTCTGTGTAAAAGTGTCTGTGTAAAAGCTTCTGTGTGCTGTGTGTAAAAGCTTCTGTGTGTAAAAGCATCTGTGTGTAAAAGCCTCTGTGGTGTAAAAGCGTCTGTGTGTAAAAGCGCCTGTGTGTAAAAGTGTCTGTGTGTAAAAGTGCCGGTGTGTAAAAGCGTCTGTGTGTAAAAGCGTCTGTGTGTAAAAGCTTCTGTGGGTAAAAGCTTCCGTGTGTAAAAGCTTTTGTGTGTAAAAGCGTCTGTGTGTAAAAGCGTCTGTGTGTAAAAGCGTCCGTGTGTAAAAGTGTTTGCGTGTAAAAGTATCTGCGTGCAAAGCGTCTGCGTGTAAAGCGTCTGTGTGTAAAGGAGTCTGTGTGTAAAAGCGTCCGTGTGTAAAAGCGTCTGTGTGTAAAAGCTTCCGTGTGTAAAAATGTGTGTGCGCAAAAGCTTCCGTATGTAAAAGTGTCTGTGTCTAAAAGCATCTGTGTGTAAAAGCGTCTCTCTGTAAAAAGTTCTGTGTGTGAAAAGCTATTTGAAAGATACGATGCAAACTATTGTCTTGTACTTGTGCTATATTGTCTTGATACTCCTCTTCTCGTCTGCCTATAACACATCTTTAATATATTGTTTTGTAACATGGTGTCTCCATACTAACAAGAGAAGACCCTGCTCCTCTACGCTCTCGGGCCATCCGTCGTCTAGTTGATGTTGTCAAGTTCAAAAAATGTAGACGCCTCGCAGAATGCTTTGTTTTTGACGGTGTCAAGTTCAAACATTGAGGAAGTCTCATAGAATTGCTCCGTTTTCGATGTTGTCCAGTTCAAAACCTGAGGATGTCTCGCAGAATAGTTTCGTTTTCAATCTTGCAGATAGACAGGTAGATAGATAGACAGACAGACAGATAGAGAGAGAGAGATAGATAGATAGATAGATAGATAGATAGATAGATAATGATAGATAGATAGAAAGATAGATAGATAGATCGATAGAAAGATAGATTGGGTAGATGGGTAGATAGATAGATAGATAGATAGACAGATGAGATAGATAGATAGATAGATAGATAGATAGATAGATAGATAGATAGATAGATAGATACATAGTTAGATAGACAGATGAGATAGATTGATAGCTAGCTAGATAGGTAGGTAGATAGTTAGATAGACAGCTAGATAGATAGATAGATAGACAGATAGATAGATAGATAGGTAGGTAGATAGATAGATAGAAAGATAGATAGACAGATAGACAGATAGATAGAATAGAACAGACTAGCATAGAATAGAATAGAAAAGAAAAGAATAGCATAGCATAGCGTAGAATTGATAGAATAGAATAGATTTAGCACAGAACAGCACAGCACAGCATAGCATAGGATAGGATAGAACAGAACAGAACAGAATAGACGGATGGATAGATTGATAGATAGATGATAGATAGATCGGTAGGTAGGTAGGTAGGTAGGTAGGTAGGTAGGTAGGTAGATAATCAGAGAAAGAGAGAAAAAGAGAGAGAAAGAGTCAGAGAGATCAATCACCTTTCGATCCATCAGTGGCTTCGCTCTGCCATCCGTGCTTCACAACAGCGAACCGCTCCTATAGGCTTCCTATTTTTGAAACTTCCGCCGCCGCCTTGTGCGGCACTACTGGTATTGCAGCTAGATTGGTTAGTTATGTGTCATATTATATGAAGGTTTTGACAAATCTATGATTTTTCTTTGCTTTCATATCTGCAAAAACACTGTCAGGTGCAGCTATAGACCTTCCATAATCTCCAATCATGATCTATCTGGCAAATGGTTGCTCTCCATTTCATTGGATTGGTTCAAGGGAAGGAAAACCGACAGACAGGCCCTATATTGTGCAAAAAAAATGGTTTGTGAAACAAATCATTTACACGGTCTGCCATGAACCTCCAAAGATCGCGGGCCGCCACACCCAGCACTTCCATATCGTCAGACGGTGCTTTTCGGCAGCAAGCCAAGGAACCATCTCATAGAGCGCGAGAGTGAGGTAGCCAGACAGCATATTCCCCAGTGTGTCGGCATTTCTGCATTGCACTTGCCTGACCCCAAAAAAACAACCAGCGCACCTGACTAAGTCACGTGACTAGAAAAGGCGTGGCTAAACTGAAGTCCAAAATGGTTGGGAAACGGCCGTGCGCTTTGAAGTTGGGCCAGGGCTAAAAACGAATTCATTTTGTCTTATCATGTCTTGAGTCTCCAGTTCCAACATCCTCAAGTTTTTTCGCAGAGATTTTGGTGGCCCAACAAGGCGTTGCATTTTGCATCAGCGACTGGTTGGAGAAAGGTGGCATAGTTATTGTTTGGGTTTGTTCAGCAGAATTCAACCGACGGTTAGGCAAATTCTAGCAAGTTCTAGTCAAACAGTATGGGATAGGAAAGGAGCCGTCAACCGGGAACCAAGCCGTTCAGGAACCGGCAAGGAGTTATTCTAATGCAAACCGAATGAAACCGAACCGGCTCCACATTATCAATATTTATTTTGTAAGCTTCCGCGGGGTTCCGATAATGATTTTCGAGCACTCAAAATATTTTTCGCGAACTGAAAATCAGATTCCACAGCGGAATCAATTGGAATGAATCGAGTTCTGAAGAACATGATTTGCCAAGGTGCAGCAGGAATTGCAAGTGATCAGTCGGCGCAGTGCTGGCTTCTACTGCTGCTACTGCTACTGCTACTCCTAATCAGACTCCTACTCTGACTCCTATATTCCTACTCCTACTCCTACTCCTACCCCACTACTACTACTACTACTACTACTACGACTACTACGACTACTACGACTACTACGACTACTACGACTACTACGACTACTACGACTACTAGTACTACGACGACGACAACGACGACGACGACTACTACTACTACGACGACTACTACGACTACTACGACTACTAGTACTACGACGACGACGACTACGACGACGACAACGACGACGACGACTACTACTACTACGACGACTCCTTCTCCTACTCCTACTCCTACTCCTACCACTACCACTGACTACCACTGACTACCACTGACTACCACTGACTACCACTGACTACCACTGACTACCACTGACTACCACTGACTACCACTGACTACCACTGACTACCACTACCACTGACTACCACTACTACTACTACTACTACTACTACTACTAGAAATAGTACTACTACTAGAAATAGTACTAGTACTGCCACTACCACTACCCCTACTACTACTACTACCACCACTGCTACTACTACTACAACTATTATTACTACTCCGACGACGACGACTACTACTACTACTGCTGCTGCTGCTGCTACTACGACTACGACTACGACTACGACTACGACTACGACTACGACTACTACTACTACTACTATCACTACACTACTATCAATACTACTACTACTACTCCTGCTGCTGCTACTACTACTCCTCCTCCTCTTGCTGCTGCTGCTGCTACTGCGGCTGCTGCTGCTGCTTATGGCTAGCGCTACTGGTACTGCTACCACTTCCGCTACTGCTGCTACTGCTGCTACTGCTGCTACTGCTGCTACTGCTGCTACTGCTGCTACTGCTGCCTGATGCTACTACCACTGCTACTACTGTTACTACTACTACTACTGCTACTACTGCTACTACTCCTACTCCTACTGCTACTGCTACTGCTACTGCTACTGCTACTGCTACTACTACTACTACTGCTACTACTACTACTACTACGACCACCACCACCGCCACCACCACCACCACCACTCGTACTTTTGTTCTAAAACTAGTCCGAAAGTGATTTTTGCCCAACCAAGTCATGCCATTTTCCTTGTATGTCCTGTCATTGTTTAAAATCATATCGAATTTCCGCGCATATTCGTTTCAAATTATGTTCATGGTCCTTGGTTCTTTTCATGATCTTCCGCACGCCCGTTTAAGCTTCTTTTCAGTTCTTTTACTTCTTCCAACGTTCTTCTATCTTCCTTTCACTTTATTTCACTTTATTTTAATGCATTTCATTTCCTTCCACTTTCCTTTCATGCGCGTTATTTTCATGTCCTTCAATGATCTGTTCGTATCCTTTCATTGTCCCTCCATGCCATGTCCAAAATTTCACAGATAGAATATTCGGAATGCACGACCGTGGTCACCATGGTGGTCACAATTTATATGTGTGAATATTGAAGGATCAAATGCACACACATACAAAAACATTTCCTTTTGTGTTCCTGCCATTTCCCTTTCATTTCTTGTCACATTCCTTTCATGCGTGCTTATTCTCCTGTCAGTTTCCTTTCACTTCCTTCCATGTTCCTTCCATTTCCTTCAATCATATCTTTGTTTTGCGTTCATCTTATTTTATTTCCCTCCTTTCCTTTTGTTTTTTCATGTCCTTCTGGTGTTCCTCTGATTTCCCTTTCCGTTCGCCTCATTTTCCTTCTCGTCTTCCTTTCATGTCCCTTTCATTCTGCTCTCTTGTCACGTCAGTTTCCGTCCCTTTTCCTTCAAGTCATTCCGTTTTCCTTGTATGTCCTGTCATTGTTTAAAATCATATCGAATTTCCGCGCATGTTCGTCTGAAATTATGTTCATAGTCCTTGGTTCTTTTCATGATCTTCCATGCCCGTTTATGCTTCTTTTCAGTTCTTTTACTTCTTCCAACGTTCTATCTTTACGTGAACGACCGACACAGCAAATGTGCAGGGTAACTTTTGAATATTCTATCTGTGAGATTGAATGGAAAAACCAGGGTTTGGTAATGTTTGGCATGTCTTAATTTGAATGTCTTAACTTGGCATGTCTTAATGTTTGGTAAATGCATGAATAAGGATATAAACATATACATATATCTATCTATCTATCTATCTATCTATCTATCTATCTATCTATCTATCTATCTATCTATCTATCTATCTATCTATCTATCTATCTATCTATCTATCTATCTATAGTAGTAGTGTAGTAGTAGTAGTGGTAGTGGTAGTGGTAGTGGTGGTAGTAGTAATAGTAGTAGTAGTAGTAGCAGCAGCAGTAGTAGTAGTAGTCGTCGTAGTAGTCGTAGTAGTCGTAGTAGTCGTAGTAGTAACAGCAGTTGTAGTAGTAGTAGTAGTAGTAGCAGCAGCAGCAGGAGTAGTAGTAGTAGTAGTAGTATTAAAATTACCACCCCTACTTTTGTCCCAATGCTACTCCGAAAAGGATTTTCGCAGAGTGAAAATGATGTTTGGCTAATGTTTGAGATTTGCAGGCACTGCCTCAATTTCGATGCCTGAACACGCAATGGCATTTGGCTGCTGATTGAACCTCTGCGAAACGGACCTAAAACGAACCGAAGCCTTCCTGTATATTGGGAGAATTCCCCTTGCTAAGCATGATTGTGAGGTTGCTATGATTGACCCAGAGTAATGTAAAAAAATGATAGCAAAAAGAGTTTAAACCTTGAAAACCTGTTGTTCCTCAGTTTTTAACTTCGGCTACGAAGCGCCTCTTTGACATAGAGTTTCATCTAAAAAACAACGGGAAACCGAGAGAAATCGACAGTGCGCCGCAGAAGTGTGAACCCGTGGAGAACTCGTGCATAACGCTCGAAAGAAGAACTAAAATCCGGAGAAATTACTAAGGCTACCCTCTGGTGTCATTTGGTTCGATGATTTTCCCATCCACACCTCCGGGCTAGTTCGGGGATATCCCATACTTTCCGATATTTGCCCATGATTTCTCCCAAATTTCAGAAGAAATTCCCAGCCATTGCGAAGAACACCGGAGGTGCTCCGCAACCCAAGGGACAATTGCATAAAGACTTTGCTATCGCCGAGTGAATAAAACAAATTCATATCCTTAGGTGCACAGCAGCTGATAAGGTTGGTTTGCCGTGAAAATCTTCACCGGAAACTATGGCTTTAAGTGAAAAATTTGGGGGTGTCCGGTGTCAATTGTCCCATCATTCAAGTCCGGGGCAGCCACAATGAAGCAGCCGGATGGTACCAAACACATGCATGGCTGGAGAATGCCTAAGTTTGTATCTTGCAGATTGCATCCTGCCGGATGGTAGCAAGACCCATCATGAGAACACCATCAAATGCACCTTCACGATGTTCGGTGAGATGGTCTTAATCCTGTCCCTACCTATAGACGAAAAACCCGCGACAAAGTTCACGTCCGTAACACCGGGTTCCTCAAAAAAAACAGCCATCCCCCTACATCTTGTCACATCACATCTGATTCCCCCGCGCCCCCTTGATCAATGTTGTTGCCCAATGCATGCCGGCATCTGAACCGAAATGGCTGTTTTTTTTGAAGGCCTTTCCAAGCAAAGTGATGTAACAACATTGAACTGGGGGAAAGGGGGCATGCAAGTTTTTTCGCAATGAGTTTGACAGGATGGCTGTTTTTTTGAAGAACCCGGGCTCAATCACACCCCACTGCTATCACCATAAAAAAGGCACCAGGATATTGTACAGACGAGTGGCCGTAACTGCTTTCATTGCATAGACGTACACTGTCCCCATGATCACCTGGCAACGGCATTCCATGGCAATCCCCAAGGCCTTCCATTGGCTACCTATGTCAATGCAAGCGGAATGTTTCGAATGATGACCACAAGGCGAGTTGTGTGCGTGCGTGCAGATGAAGCAGCCTGAAATCCAATCCAGAAGGTCTGGAAAAGCATTCCACGCGACACTCTATGATTGAAGCATCTTCACAGAAAGGTGTCAGGCAAGCAATGATAATGGAAATTGCAATTCTTAGCATAATTATGCATAATTGGTGGTTGATTTCCTGTCATTTGATAGACTTGATGTCCTGCTTGACCACGTGATTTGTTCAGGATCGTTTTCCGTTGCCCGAAGACATAGACAAGTATGATAAGGTCTATCTATCGACAGCACCGTCTCCACCTAAGTAACCTCCAGTGTCTGCATAAGAAACAAACGTGCATGCTTGTGTATGTGTGTGCGCGCGTGTTGGTGTGATTCGCGCGTGTCTGCGCACGTATTACATGTTACAGAAGTAGCTACATCATACACACATATAAGCACATATACGCATCCCACATGCCACATGTTCTGCCACACACACACACACACCACCACATATCACATACAACATGCACATACACATGCGGGACATACGTCAAGTTTTGGAAGATTTCTTTTGGGCTGGTTCCTGCCGATATCGCGGAAACCAGTTTACTTCGGATTTAACAATCGCTTTTGAATAAATCATAATAAATCCACATCTTGACAACGTACCACATCCAATCTTATCCCCTGCATTTGCAAATCCACGCTAGATTGTGCATAGACATTTGCAAGATTGCAAGCGAGTAGGGGCTCTAATGTCTGGGGTCGAATGCCTCAAAATCGGCGAAAACTCCTCCCAATTCAGTCCCGGCCCTGGCCACAACGTGCATCGACGGTGCCACCTGTGACGCAACGGCCACGGGCAAGACAGGGACACATAGACCAGCGTCCAATGTGACCCATGCCAGGGCGAATAGCACCAACTGGGCGGCCGAAAACAACGGGGTTGGAATGGGCCTGGGGCCATACCCTCGGTATGAAGCATGGCTGGAAATCACTGAAATATAATATTGGAAAAATATTTGAAAATCATGAGAAAATCTTGGAGACGCCCCGAAGCGAATGGAGGTTGAGTGGGAAAATCATTGAACTAAATGGATTTTTCAGTAAACAATTTTTGATTTCCATATGGTGGTGAATTTGAACAATTTTCCAGTGTCAACAAATCAAACCGGGCCACATCTTCAGGTGCCCCGCATGTCATAGCCACCCTGGAATCGTAAGCATGAACAGCAACCCTGGCAAAAAACCCTGTGACTATCTTGCCCCCTCAGCGTGATCTTTGAGACATCAGGAAAGCCTAGCCCCTGAGCCCAAGACCTTGCAAGTCTACGAAGGGTAGGGAGCAGCAACAGCATGAAGATCGGAAATTAGAACCAACATTGGGTTTGTTTGAAAATAGGGTGCTCCAAAACCAAATGGTTAATCACAATTTTCCCATTCAAATTGTGAGTTCTCTCGATTTGATTTCGATCCACGTATATAAGAAACCTTGACGTGCAGCTCCGACCACTTCTCCCACCATAATTCATCATAATTCCAAAAGGATCCAAAAGGGCACGCAGCTGGTAATTAGCCTATAGCAAGGTTGGACCGAAATCTATTGATTCGTAAATCCCGCATCAAGGATGGTTCCCAGAAAGATTGGTTGTTTTTGATGTTGACGCCGGCGTGGCCATCTATTCCGAGCCACGTTGTAGGGCTGGGAGGTCGCTGAATAGAACAACCAACGAATCCCTTCCACCCTTGGAGAACTCAGCGGCCCCAGAACGCACAGGACCCACGAGCCCACCAAACGGGGCCCCGCAAAAGATAGAATAGTTGCTACCGGGACCTTATATAATATGTAGATGGTGTTTCCTCCATATTTCCATGGGGGTTGCTATGCACCCATAAAACTGCCAATTTAGTGAGAAATTACGGGAAATTTCCCAATAAGGAGTTTTATCATGATCCAATACTAGGAAAATATCATCATCTTTGATAGTTCTAAGATAACTGCATATAAGATACAACGTTATCAATCTAGCCAAAGGGGAACACCTGGAAGTAGTTACCAGTTGCCCTGCTAGATCCCAGCCACGCAGCACACGAAGTCTTGCAGCGGCTATCCTCAATTGTTTCTCACTCACCAGGCTAAGCGGTCAATCCGCATGCAGCCATGCGCTAGCTCGAAGGGCGCCCTGGTAAAAGGCATTGAGCCACCAGGACAGCGGCCATTCGACCTCACAGATTATGTCCTCAGTGGACCTGGGTGAACCTCACAAGACAGCGTGAGCATGGATTGACACAGGCCCAAAGAAATGAAAAATCGGACCAAAAGTGTCTTCTGTGCAACTCACAGCTGAAAAATCCTGTCCGTGGCTCGCTCACTCGCTGAATCCCAATGTCCCGTCCCATTGAACGGGTGTGATTCAGCCCTGCACGGATCTTGCGCGCCTCTCTCACCGTGGCAGCGTTCATCTCTTCGTACTCCAAGCCTAGAAGCAAAGCGTCCTCAAGAACACTCAGCATGGCATCACGTTGTGCTCTGCCACTTCCATCCCATTCGTCGGGATACATGGGGACAGACGGTGCGTCCATGTCTCCGTTGATGATCTTCTCGATCTGTTCCTGAGTGAGGTAGTCCTCGATGGAAGGCCGCAAAGATTGGACAAACTCTTCTCGCCTCTCGGTGACCTCGTTGTCTCCGGGAACGATGTATCCACATGAGACCACATGTCGACTCTCTGCGGGGATCATCCTTTTGATGTCAGGACGATGTCCAGGATCATTGATTGGATCCAGTTCGGAATCTTGTTCTTGTTGTTCTTGGGATTCCTGTGTGGAATCTCTGTTGCTTTGCCATCCTTGCCACTCTTGCCATTCTTGATCGGTGTATTGATAAGCTCGGACTTGTTCCCGCTGAAGCCGTCGTGTTTCTTGGCGTTCAGGTCGTTAGGCAATCAGGATGCCAAAGATCAGGATGATGCCGTAGACGAAGGTCAGCTTGAAGTCGATCACCGGGAAGGAGTCAATTGGGATGTACTCCGTGAATCCAGAGATCCGGTAACCCTCGGTGGGCAGGACTTGTGAAGCAAGTGCCATACCCAAACCAAACCTGCAGAGGCAGAGAACTTGTGAGATTTCACCGCGGTCTTCTTCTTGTGTTGGTGGGCATGGTAGTGTCTCTTGGAGCAATACTTCTTGCCCTCTTCCGCAGCCAGTCCACATCCAGGAAGCAGACAGATACGACATTCTTCCATTGTTCTTTACCTTTTTGGATGCGACTCCCAAGAGTCGGAGAGAAGACTGTGCATTCTCCTCTTCAGCTCTTGTGCCAGCGTGCCAGCTTGATGTGGGCCGATGTCTTGGTCATTCCATCAGCGAGCTGCTGACGACTGTTGCACCACTTGAGCACACTAGAGGCAGCAGCCATCCGTTCGCAACTTATCTTGATCTCGATAGCGGTGCCCTTCTCAGCCAGTTTCATGCCAGGCGACTGAAGCGTCATATAGCGCTCGAGCATGGGTGATGCAAGGGGACTTGCCAAGCCATTGCATGATCTCCTCGTTGTCAGGGCGTTGGTTTGGCCACATCATCAGGGCAAAGAGACACTTGAGCCACTCCAGAGAGTCAATGGCCATTGCCAGTGTCTGCCTCAGCTGAAAGTGAGCTTCGGCAGACTCGTGTGAGTCTTTTGGATGCGCAGTCGATGACCGTCAATGGGAATAGGCTTGCTACCGTTACCTTTGGAAGATCCATCGGGACGGGTCGCCCAACTGGCATCACAGTACATGCCAAATCGGATATCTTGTAGTAGTCCATATGCGCGGATGACCAGGTGGGTGTTTGCAGTTTCTCTGCAGGAGTTTGTTCACCTCCAGCATGTCACCGATGTTGGTGGATGCAGTCGCAGATTGGGTCAATGAGACCGATGCAGCCATGTGGGGCTGAGTTTGGAAAGAAGGCCAAGCCAGTGCTCCCAGAAGGCCTCGTAGTTGAGATTGTTCTCGAGGTGTGGCCTTCTCATTGGGTTGCGCCTTGCGGCTCTTTTCAATGTCATAGACTCCTTCACCACAGGCCATGATGTCGCCCACATGAATTCCAAAAAGTCCATCGACGACATAGTTCTGGCCATTCATTTCAGAGATGGTGAAGTCGTGGTCGGACTCCATGGCAAGCCGAACTGAGATGTAAATGCATCCATCCAGTTCATGTTTCAGGAGTGCCACGTCTTGGATCAGGACCTTGTCAGTCGTGTCGTTCCATTGCCGTGGTGCTCGGACATCTCCAAAAGCTGGTTTGGTAACTTGACATGACCCCATCATCTCGGCCAGGAGTCTCCGCACGTCGGCGGAAGGCCCGCCGTAGATCTCGACCTCCTGGTGGGAGCAATCGCTCTGCAAGAATGCGCTCTTCATGCCATGGTGCCGATGCGCCACCTTTTGCAGCATGCCATCAGAACCAGCAGGTACTTGCCAACTCGAGAGATCGTAGGCGATCCTGTGTCCAGTTTGGATTCCATGGGCATCCTTGTGCTTGAAGCCCTGCAAGATGACTCTTGCGTGAGGTTGGTTCTCCTTGTACCTCAGCAGGAATCGCATTGGGACAATCGTTCCCTTGGGACACTTTGACCGAGAGATTGGTCGCCATGCATCATTTTCAGCCCGGGGAACTTGCCAGGGAACCAATGCTTTCCTTTTGGCCTCAGTGAAGGCTTTCTTTTCATCAGGGCCCAAACGACTTTCCACTACAGCCTGAAGGATTTCCTCTTCAGTGATCTCAGCAAGATGAACTTCTTCTGTCTTCGCTTGCTTGGGTTGAGATTGTCCGTCAACTTGACGTCGTGGAAGCCCATCCAGCGGTCGATTGTGTTCATCAGAAATTCTACTTGCAGTTCTGACTGCTTGCTCCAGATGCCTTCGTTCTCATGCCCGGTCGGAATCGCTTTCTTGTTCAGGTCCGGGGGCACCGTCGACAATTTTATGGTGGGGATCCAAGACATTTGGGTCGACCGACGTCAGCATGTCCCGAACCTGTTGCTGCTCTTGACCGATCTCGAAGTCCATCGGTTGATCGCCAAGTCGTCCCGGCTCAGCAGGAGGTTCTGCCCTAAGTCCAGAGGGTGAAATCGTCTCCTTTGGCTGAGATGGAACTTGGCAGCTTTGCCCTTGATCGGATTCCGCAGTTTCTTCTTGGCAGAGGCAGAGGCCTTGCCCTTGCTCTCCTTTGAATCGGCCGGTGCGGCCACATCAGGTAGTCCTTGATCAGGAGAGATGGGGGGAATTGAGTCCTTCAAAGGGACCAGATTCATCAGCTGCAGGGGCAGCAGGCTCAGTCGTCGGTGCAGTTGTTGCCGCCGTCGTTGATGGCGGATGTTGTGGTTCATGCGGAGGGGCCGCTCGGAGCGAAAGAACGCCATCTGAAGTGTGAGTGGAAGAGCCACCCCCCAAAGAGGGAAAATCATCAGGAGTTTGAGCACGGGATGCCAAGTCCAATCCACGTACTGGGCTTCGCACAGGTTTGAGAGCAGCCAGGGTGCGATCGGCCAAAGACCTTTGTAAGTCATTTTCCCCAGAGGCTCGAAATCCTCGATTTGAGGTGGATAACGTTATTCATAACGTTATCGACCTTGAATCCGGGATTTGATGTACAAAGTGTTATCATGATACCGCTTTTCAAGTTAAAACGCATTTTTAGTTAAAAAGTAGGATCTTAATCTCCGATCGGAGCATGTTGTATAACACTTTCCGATCGGAGCATGTTATATAGATAATAAAAGATATTGTTCACAATTATATTTAGATATATTTAGTATTTGTATGTCAGACTGGTATGTGGGGGCTGCAAAGCCCTTTGTTTGTGAAGATGCGTGAGTTCTAGATTGGTGTGCTATATGTGGGGGCTGCAACAGCCCTTTGTATGTGAAGGCATGAGTCTCAGGGCGCGCTGCAAATCATTTTGTTGCGAGCGTGCATGAGTTTCCGATTGGAATGCGTTTGCTGCGCGCAGCTCATTTCGCGATGTCAAAGCTCCAGGATTCTAGGGAACTTTTGAACAATTTGAGAGCGTACTGCACACGATGGGGTAGCAACAGCTTCGACTTTGGTGAGTACAATGACTTGGATAGGAACCAAGCCGTGAAGGGCAGCGCACTTGCGCAGAACGCCCAATACTTGGAAGCATTTCTCAAAGCTGGCTACGCCAAGGCCAGTCTTGTGACAATGAGGAACACTTTGCGGCTTTTGGAATCTCATTTCCTGGGCAAGTTCAAAGTGAATCCTACGGAAAAATCATTTGAGGATTTCCTGGCCTTCCTTTGCAGGCGAAGTAACTGCATGCTGAGCCATTTGCGCAGATTGGTCAATGAGGAGAAAATGAATACTTGTGTCCGTGGTCTTGCGGACCCCAAAGATGCAGATACTTTGCACAGTTTGTTGCAGCTGCTCAATGAGGTCGTAGTTCCTTCTCCTTCCCCTTCACCTGGAGAAGCGCCAACGGAAGAGGTAGCAAAAGAAGGGCAGGACCCCCGCACGTACCCCACCTATGAGAGTCTGGTGCGATCACCTAGCTCTATGCCTGCCAGTGATTCGCCAGGTGCAGCTCCCAGCAGCGATGATGACAATGCGCCTCGCAGTGCTTTGCAGCAAGCTCGAAATCGCCAGGGCAAACTCCCGGGAACAAGAGGAAGCACGAAGGAGAAGACCAAACAGATGAGAAAGCCGGCTGCTGCCAAGCCTCCCGCAGCTGAGGCAGCTGACCCTGCCAAATCTCCTTACCGCGTGGGGAAATTTTCACACAAAGGCTATGTCCAAGTCTTTGACACGGACTCCAATGCTTGGAAGCTGTTGGTGAACGTGGACTACACCAATTGCTCAGAAGAATGGAAGAGTAAATGCCACGAAGTGTTGGACAAGCTACTAGCTTATGTGCAGAACAAGCCGGAGTCCACTAAGGAAGAGCTGCGCAGCAAAAGAAATGATTGGCTGCAGGCTGCTGAACATGGCGATGTGGCTTCATCCAGGAAACGACCCGCGGCTTCTTCACTTCGTCCGAAGAAAGCCAGTCGCAAAGCTCACAAGCTGAAGTCCAAGGACGATCCTGAGATGCCGGCTGTTTCTCCTAAGAAGATTAGAAGAAGGTCAAATTTATTGTCTTCTCCGGGCAATATTGACCAAGGTGATTCTTTGTCATTTAGCGATTTTGGATCCTTTGCTTGAGCCTCTTGGTGCCGGATTGTCAGAAAAAAGGTGTTTGACAAGGGTGGGTTTCCCAACAGGTTTGCCGTTGTTTGTGACAGTTGCACAAATTGAGTGCTGGATTTGAAACTCGTTGGTTTCCGCAGGTGTGATTAAATCTTAATTCCTGGCGGTATTTTTGGTGTAGAAGTGCTTGTGCCATGGCTCCGCTTGCAGCCCGCAAATCGCAGCTGAAGCCGAAAAAGAGCAAATGCCATGTCGCGCCACGAAAGCGCAAAGCTGTGGACAAGACACCCACTGCTTGGAAAAGAGCCGCTGACAAGCTTGTGGCTTGCCACTGCACCCTCTTGAGCCTACTTGCTTTTGCGATGCCCTACCTCACTGTCAGCGGCCAGGAGGATGAGATTCAGAGCTTGGAACTGTTTGCTGGAAAGCAGGCCATCAGTCGTCAGACCCAGAAATTCGGTTTTCGAGCTGTGGCCCTTGACAAGACCTACAGTGATAGCCCCATCATGGACCTGACTACGATGGATGGTTTCAAGCATGCGTTGTCTTTGGCCATGCGTTTAGGCATAGCTTGCACATGCTGGGCGGCGCCAGTTTGCAGTAGCTGGGTATGGGTCTCAAGATCCAGCACAGGCCGCAGAGCCACCTGTCCCGAAGGCAACCTGAGTTGTCTGTCGGTGAGAGAAGGAAATCTACAAGTGAAACTCACCGTGACTGTTCTGCCGGTCGCTTTCCTGCGTGGTGCGTTTGTGTACGTGGAGCAGCCTTGCAGTAGCCTCATGTCTTTGTACGAACCAATGAAAAGCTTCATAGAACTCATTGGAAAGCAGAGATGCCGAGTTGCTCTTGGGGCCTATGGAGCTGACAGCGCCAAGCCCATCTATATATACACCAATGACCCCAATATAGAACGCTTTCAGAAACGCATCCCTGGAGGAACTGAGTTCAAACAACTCTGTTGCAAAGGCCCCGGGGGAGCTGTGACAGGATTGAAAACTGTTCTGAAAGCATCTCAAGCTTACCCGGAAGATTTTGGAAGGGTGGTAGCAGAAGCGACTGCTTCTAATCTCTTGTCGTCCTATGGATTGGACGACTTTGCAAAATAAGGCTTGGCTTAGTCATGCACTGTAGATTTCTCACGTAGACAAATTCATAATTTGCAAGTGTCGTATGTTCTTTAGACATGCGTAGCAACAGCCACTTTGGGGAAAACATTGTTGCGTCAGCCGTGCAGAAACCATTTGTGGGGCTTGCAAAGGCCCGCGTTTGTGAGGCCTGCAAAGGCCTTTTTTTGGTTGGGTTCAACATGTATCAGCTTCAACTGTTTGTTTTGAACAGGTGTTTTATTACTTGGGTTTACTGATTTGCGTGGATGCGGCAGAGTCGCCACCTGGCAGCCAGCTCCTGGTGGCAACCATTCTGCAACGACTTGTTGACTCAGTTTGTTTCCTGTGGGCAAGACATTGACGATTTGTACGGCAGCTCTGTGCTCAAATCTTCGCACTGAGCGATTTGTGCCCCATCTGTATATGCCTGGTTTCCAAAGCAACATGATGAGAGATCACATGCGCGCCTTGTGGATGAGTGAAACCAACGGCACCTCACCATGTATTTGGAATACCTTTCGTCCTGAAAGTGTGCTCAAAAATGGTAGCCTGGCTTTCCTTATTTCTTTTGTGGGGATGTTTTGTTCACCCTCCGCTCAGGACGTGTGCCTTACACTACGTGGCTCCAACAGCAGCTACTCAATGAGTCGTTTGGCGCCAACATTCACGTACATCCCAGTGCAGTGCCTATGGCCCCAGGGCTTGCACCGCAGATGGTACCCATGCAGCCGTGTGGTTTGATGAGCCCGCATCCAATGCATATGCCCGTGGGACTTGTTCCTCAAGCTGTGTTTCAGCAGCAAGAAGCAGTGCCAACGCCTCCTTGGAGGGCAGATACCAGTCCTTCGTTTCTTGCCGCTACCAATGCTCCTGCGCCTGCAGCTCATGGTGTTGGACACGGCGCTATGCCTGCGGACGCTCCTGCTCCAGACATTCCAAAGACGGATGACAAGAACTGGTGGTGGGATGGGCAGAAATACCGCCCTTGGTCTCGCGGTTCCGGTGCCAAACAAGGCAGTGCATACGCCAGGTGCAATGTGTGCAGGAAGATATGCCTCGTCTTCAGGACTTCCACGTTGAGGACCGCTACGGTGAAACACTGCAGAAACCGAGCATGCTCCAGGAACGGTGGCAAAGACACTGGTGGTGAGAAGGACTGAATTGGACATATGCGAAAAGAGCAAAGATGCGGACTGCAAAGTCCGTGATAATCAACCTACTCAGTTTATGACCCCCCGAATATGACAATCTGTATTACATATATATATATATTTATTTGTTGTTTTGCGTTGGGGAAAATGACTAAGGCACAGCATGCATAATATAGTGCACATAAGGTTTGTGGTCCAAGATTGCAGTCATTCTCGATCAGACTGGTTCGTTTGCAGGAGATCGACTGGATGGGCGATGATGAAGCGCCCCCATATGCCGAAGCAGACTCCAATGACGAGATGCCTGGTGGCGCTGCTGGTACTACCCCCAAGGCTTCCCCAATGGTGCCTCCTGGAGAAGCTACGACCACGGCCCCCGACAATGAGCGCTTGAGTGTTGCTCCGTTTGTGGCAGGGAATGTGCCTGAGCCGAAGGCCAAAGCTGCTCCGAAGACGAGATTGAAGAAGACGGGCGGGACGAAGAAGAAGACTGGTCTCAAGGTCAAGAAGTAGATAACTGTGCAGAGCTGCAGAGTGGTATAAAAAAGGTGACGCGCTTCCGATCGGAGCGAGAAATTTTTTGAAATTTCCGATCGGACTTGTAAATCTTATAGTTGTCTTATAGACGTCTTATACATGCATATATAAGACGTCTATAAGACATCTATAAGATTTTACAGTTTCCCAATTCCTTTGAAAGTCCAATCAGAAATTTTCATTTTTTTCTTGCCAGCTTGAGGCCTGAAAAGGCCTAACATCTGGGGCCTGCAAAGGCCCGACATCTGGGGCCTGAAAAGGCCCAACATCTGGGGCCTGCAAAGGCCCAATGTCTAAGCTTGCAAAGAGCGTGAGTAGTTCCCACAGGTAGGCTTAGGGCAAGGTAAAGCTTTGTCCAAGTTATTTCGTTTTTTGCGCCCTTCCAGCAAAGACGACTGCAGACAGAAATTCTTCCACAATCTCTGTGTGCTTATGTCAGTTACATTTGGCGCCTCAGCCTTTTTTTGGTTTGGGACTTGAGAACAGCTGCCCAAATTTTGAGATCATGGCCACCGACGCTTTGATCGAGTCTTTGAAGCTTGTCGCTGACGAGCGCATATGCTTGTCCTGCTATATGGCCTACATAGAGGTCTGGTTGCCAGAGAAACTTGGCTGCCTTTGTTCCCATGTTTTTCCCTTCAATTCCCTGGCCAGGCGCCACAAACACATACCTGAGGAAAGATCAGCTTGCCTTGCATTGTATCTCTGCAGACTGCCTTTGTGAGCTCCATGATGGGCAGCGTGCTTGCAATCGGAAGGCTGCGACTGAGGTGTACAGTGAAGGGAAAAGCTTTTCGCCCAGTATTCCTGAAGTCTCTGCAGACAACAGCGCTGCAAAGTGACGCAATTGCAACGCGGCCCTATAGGTAGAAAATTTTCCCCTGTCCATGCAGCCACCTGGTCCGCTGGGTTTGGAAACAGAACTGCTTTGAAGCTAAAATGAAACTTCGTTTCTCCATGTTGCACATTTCCCACTGCCTCTTCCCAGAACACTGGTTTTCGCTGCTGCTGAATGAATGAATGAATGACATCATTGCCTGCATAGCGCAGCTTTGGTATTTTATTTTGAACGCCATAGTTTCTTGTAGTAGCCGCCATGCCTGCAGCAATGAAGCGCCCAGCCACGCGTTGTCAACAAGATGAGCAACCAGTTCTGAAGCGGCCTGCTGCTGCAACAGTGCCTGCTGATGACAAAGCTGCAGATCCCATGGCCCCACTGCCAGAAAACAAGGAAGAGCTGGAGAAAGTCTTGGCAGACCCAAATATCAAGCCATTGGACAAAAAGCTTGCCAAGTTCAAAGCGGCCGTGAAGGCAGACGAAGATGCGTCAGCCATGTTTGCCAAGATGAAACGATTTTTCGATCCCAGCGAGATGAGCTGCCTATGGGGCAGGTTTGGGACTCTCATCAATGGGTCCGCGGGTGAGCAGCAAGACGCTTGGAAGAGCATTTGCAATATGGATTGGCGCAGTGGCAAAGTGGAGGCCAAAGGAAAGATATTAGCCATGCAAGTCATGAATCCCACTCGTTGGAAGGAGTTCTTGGTGCAGGAAAGCAATTCCCTCACCCGCCGTATCACAAAGCAAGTGAAAAAAATACGGTACTATCGAGGAGAGTTGATCCAAAAGCATGGGCAGGAGGAGTTCGAGGAGCTTTTGGCCAAAGGCAAGTTCGAAGAGGTGGAAGACAGCGATGGAGATACGTGCTACTACAAGAAGGAGCTCAGCCAGACCGATGCTTTGGAGCTTTCCCGTAAGGCAACTACTGGCAAGCAGAAGACATCCAGCAGCCAGGTTGAAGTCGAGGCTCTCGCTTCAGCTTTCCGCTCTGAGTTCCAAGGGAAGGGCACTGGGTCCTCAACAGACAGAAAGCCCTTGCAGAACAAGAACAAGAAGGAAAAGAAGGAAGCAAAAGAGGAGACTGAAGATGAGAAGGCGCAGAAGAGTTTGAAGGCATGCTTGTCAGCCATGAATCGCCACCAGGAGAAACTTATGGTCGCTATTTCCAAATTGGAGAAAGATCGGGCGGCTGCTGGCATCCGCCAACTTTGCGTCAACGCTTTGCAGAAGGTGAAGAAGCAGCAGTCCAATCTTCAAGTCTTGATTGCCGACTACAACCAGAAAGCAGCTGCGAAGGCCATCGAGAATGTCACCAAGGTTTCCGCTGAGTGTGCTGACGCGTTGAAAAAGGCAAAGCCTTTCACCGGATAGACACTTAGCTGCGCTTGCTGTTGAGCTCTGATTCTCCAATTTTGCAGCTGCCACCTGCCACCGGATCCATGGCATGTGAAAAAAAGATCGTCTGTTTTGGGGCTTCTTCATGTGGGGGCCGAAAGGCCCCTCCACATTTTCACACAAGGAATCAATTAGCTTGCTGCACCTGCTGTCGAGTCGTGTCCACATTTGAAAGTTTTGGATTCAGATCTTGCACGTTCTAATGCCTAGCTTCAGTAGACTTGCTGCCGCCGTTGAGCGAGATGCTGGCTACCGCAAAAGAAAGGCACCCGAAGATGAAAACCCATCTCCTCAGAGTGAATCATCCGCATTGGCGAGCCTTTTGCTAGAGTGGGTGTCATGGGGTACAATATCTTTCCCCATGGTTAGAGAAGCTGCAGAAGCAGCTTGCAAAGACGGCGCTGACTCACCCCAATTGCGTAAGTTGGCAAGCCTTGGGGGACCCCATGCTCTGTCCAGAAATATGAGACGGGATTGCTTGAACAATTTGGACATAACCTTTGTGGAACCAGAAATGGTGAAGCTGCACATGATGCCTGCCAAGGGGGAGAAAAAGGTCCAGTATGTTGACCATCCAATCATCTTGCCCCATGTACTATTTCAGCATCTCTATGACGAGCATCGTGATTTTTTTATGCAGCAGATTGCGGAAGCTGGGCCACAATTCTTTTGGGAACAGTGCCCCAGAGATGAGCCCAGGCTCATTGACCACCCTGTTCGGTCTGTTCCAGATTACAAGAACAGAGCGTGCCCTCTCGTGCTGCATGGAGATGGCGCGCAGTACACAACACATCACGATTCCATCAAAAGTTTGCAGTGGTCCTTCTTGGGATCTGATGGAGTGGGCACAAGAACTTGGGATCACGTTTTTCTCATCACAGTTTTGGTTTCTCGCGTTTGCTGCCAAGAAGATGTCCATGGAGTCGACACTTGGGATGTGGTCTTCCGCCTGGTGGTGAGCAGCTTCAATTCGTTGCTCATTGGCAGAATGCCGCCGAAGAGCGACAGCAATGAATCCGAAGAAGAGATCTGCGAAGGAAAATACTTCGGCTTTCTGTATGTGGTCACTGCGGACATGGAGTATGCCAGCAACGTGCTCAGATTGGAACACTTCAACAGCGTTGACTTCTGTTGGCTTTGTGACGCACAGCAAGCTGAAGGTGATTTGAATTTCAGAAATCTTGCCTGTGATGCCCCGTGGCGGAGCACCTTGGTTGACCCACAGCATGCTTTCATAGAGGACGGCCATTTTTTTTGGACAGCAGCTGGAATAGGCCGCTACACATATGTAGGAGATTGGCTGCACACAGTGCATCTAGGGATCATGTGCCACTTGTTGGCAAGCGTGATGGACTGCATTGCGGATAACTATGCTGGCAACAAAGAAGTTCGAACACAACACTTGTGGAATGACTTGGTCAAATGTCACAAAGAAATGGGCACCTTGACCGCAGAAAGAAACCGTTTTCCAAGTTTCCCTCTTTTGAAACTGGCGCAACCCATGCCATGCTAGGTACACCTGTGGCTCTTCACAACTTGAGACCGAATATGTACATGAGCACGGCTGAGAAATACGCGGAGCTGAAGCATGTGAGAGCTTCGGAAGTGTCTCGTTTGCTTCCTGCAGTTCTTCACCTCCACAACACGAAACGCGATGCGTCTGAGCAAAGCGCTCACATCACATACTGCTTGAATGCCATGACCGTATTTGAGGATCATGTGCGTGCCAATTTTTTTTCTGGCCCAAAGATGATTTCGAATATTTAATCATCACCATGTATAACTTTCAGGTGTCATACATAGCTTTGGCAGCCATGGCAGTAGACGCTGGAAAACTCCGCTTTGGTTACCCAGCCAAAGGCCATTACTTTGAACATTTAGTGGTCGATCACCTGGGACTCGTTCCTAGCCGTGTTTGGTGCTATCGCTATGAAGATTTCATGGGTCGTCTGGTGCAATGCGCCCAAAGGTGCATTGCTGGCACACCGTTGACCCTGGTAGGTAGCAAGGTGTTACAAAATTATCGAATGGCATTAAGCGTGCGGTTGGCACGCTGGAGATAAGACAAAAAGAAACACACCCACACAATATGTGGCTTGAAAAAGCCAAGGTTTGGGGGCCGAAAGGCCCCACATCTGCTTATAATTATGTCTAGTCTAAACGCGTCCTCACATCAGATGTTTTTCTATATATATATATATATTTATTTATTTATATCGCGTGCCATGACAAGCATGTAAACCACATTCCGATAACACTTTTCATACAAATAACGTTATCAGCATGAATACCGGTATCATGATCCCATTTTTCAATGAAAAATCGTTTTTCATTAAAATCCGAGATTTTGTTCAAATAGCGTTATCTGCATACCGGTATTGATGTCAAAAACGCATTTTTGACTCCAAATCGAGGATTTCGAGCCTCTGGGTCCGCTCCTGGTTTGGCTTCTCTCTCATAGCGTTCAGGCACCGTCTCATGATGGAGTTGTGGCCTTACTGCCATGAACCACCCAGTAGATCATCGTCGCTCTGTCGATGCTGGCCTCAACTGCAATGACCAAAGCAGGTCCTCGCCACCGAAAGGGGTCAAGTCTGCGAGTTTGTGGCTTCCAGTAGAAAGCCCAGTCACCGACAAAAGAGTTCATCATCTTCAACTCGTGAGCGATGAAGGGCAGCAGCTCGTAGAGCAAGGTCTTGATTCGCCTTGTGGAAGGTGATGACGGCTTTCTGCTTGATCTCGAGAATGTTCGGCAAATCCGCCTGATCGCCAAAGGATTCAGGGCCAAGGTCATCCATGACACCATCCTCAGAAGGCACATTGCCAAAAGCCAAAGTGGCAGGCGTAGCACCTTTGGCTGCGCTCAGCCTGTTGCGCTGGTGTGCGGTGACCAGCAAAGCTTTCTTAAAACTGCAATCGGGCATCTCAGCTTTATCTTCAGAGTCGTTCTTCTGTCAACAAGATCCTCATCCTCCATGGACGGGGAATGAGTTCCATCTTGATGCCATGATTGGATACCCACTCAGCGTAGGTTTCACTTTGATGTGGACCAAAGGCGTCCAGTCTCAGAACCTTTGGGTAGCCGAAGTTCTTGGCCCATGTGGACTCGAACAGTCCAACTTCCATTTCAGCATCCTCATCCTTGATCTCACAGTCGATCTCATAGCGACTGAACTCATCCAGCATGGTGAAGACAGCTCGTTTCTCCTTGTCCCACTCAATGTAGAACGTGTCAATGGCCACTGTGTGGTTGAAGTGTGGGGCTTTGTGAAGCGTCGCTTTTGGTTGAGCTTTTGCAATGCATTGTGGGCACTTGTAGCGTCTGGCATGCGTCTGGCCACCTGCACGTATTCGTCAGACATGTGCCTGGTTTTGGCAGCCAAAGACCAGTTTGGCCCCGTTGGGATGCCCAAGTTGCCGACGCAAAAGCGCCACTGTCTTGAGGACTTCAGGTCCTCCGATCTTCACCAGCTGTATGTTCTGCTCCAGATACTGCATCTCCTTGTTGGAGTGTTCCACAAGCTCCAGTGTCATGAGCTCAGCTTGTCCTCGTCGCCTCCAGATCTCGGCCATAGACTCATAGATTGCATCACCCAAGCGCCGAACCAAGTCAGGCTCATAGTTCTGCATGGCCTTGGGAACAGCTCCTTGGCCCATCATCTGCGTGTGACCGATGTCGTATTGGCATCTCAAGTTGGCTGCCACACAGACCGTCTTGGAAGTTGATCTGAACTTTGTGGGCTTCCTCACAAATCGAGGATCGTCAGGTGAAGCTTTGAGTCCAGTTCTGCAGCGATCGAGCACTGTCTCGAAGTTCCCTTTCATGTTCTCAAGGGTTGGCGTCAGCCAGGGTGTAGCATCAGCAGGCTGTTCCAATGTACAGTCAAAGTCGATCTTCTTGGGGTCCGCATGAACGTTCTCATAGAACTTGAGGTGGGTCTCCTCCTCCAAGTTGCGAAGATCTTGTAAAGGAGCTCGGCGTTCAGGAGTGCGATAGTTCAGATTCTGCATGGGGGACCAAAGTCTGCACTCCGGTGCCATCATCCCATGATGTGGTTTCTCCTGGGCGGCCAGCTTGCGAAAGTCGCGCTGGATCTCTCGATCTTCAAAGTTCCATCGAGGCAATGAGAACTGAGAAACCTCTACATGGGGTAGTTCTGCCTGAGGTATCTGCCCAAGTTGCCCTCGTCGACATAGACCTCCCAAAATTTGAGGGTTCGCTGATGAATCTTGCTCTTCTCAACGACTCCAAAGATCACTTCGTCGATCATGCCTTCGTCGACGTCCACCTCCAAGTCCGGCTCTTCATCAGAGATGTCATCGGAAATCACGGTGTCCAGGAACACCTCCGTCTCGTCAGAGACTGTTGACTTGGAGTAGAGGTCTTCAACGTGGAGGATGTTGTTCAGGTCGTCGAAGATGTTGATCAGGTAGTGGCCATTTGCAGAGATGAGGGGTTTGATCTCAACACCATCCACATACACAAGTTTCTCGCCGTAGTCCACCATGATGTTCCAGCTTTCAAGGTCAGGTCGGGCAAGAAGAAGTGGAGTGTGTCCGGGCAAGACATGGATCACCAGGTCTCGCCAAACCTTTCCAACGCAGACTGGCGTTCTGGCACAGAACTGAGACCGAACCGTGACACCATCTCTAAAACGAAAGTCACGCGGGTCCTTGGTGATCTCGGCTTCCATCCCACGCATGTTGAGATAGCCATTCAGCTTGTCCCAGATTGCTTCACCACAGACAATTCTTGTGGCTCCACTTCATGCCGATGGAAACCTCCAGGAACCGGTGTGGTCTCTGTGGGGACGTTGGCGTCGTCAGGGACTTCCTTGATGCCAGATGTTGGAAGTCGATATCTTTTGAACCGTGGTCCATGCTGGGCAGTGCTTCCACTTGTAGTCGACCTTGCCACCGTGGATGTCGATGAGTTGTTCTCCGATGGAGATCTTCGGCCGAAGACAAATCTTCTGGCTCCGGGCAAAAGGTGTCCAGCTCCTTTTCCACTGCCCTTGCCTTTACTCTTGCCACCTTTTCCCTTGATTTTCCTTTTCCTTTTCCACCGCCCGTGTTGCGGCTCTTCCCATAGGACTTCCCAGATCCACGGCCACCAAAGTTGTTGTCATTCAAGTCAACGGCGACCACAGGATAGAACGCGCGGGACAGTGCAAGTTCTCGCATCTTCTTGCGGCTGTCAAGGTAGTTGATGGAGGCGTCCTCAGCTGCCAAACTTGCTTCATCAAGCTCTGGTGGGACATCTTCTTCGCCCATCGTGTTGTCGGCGTAGTTGATCTCATCCTCATAGCCATAGTCATAGGATTCATCTTCCCACTGGTAGTAGATCTCGTCATCATCATGGTAGTAGGTCTCGTCCAAGGCCTCGTCATCGACGTTGTCATAGTTGTCGTAGTCCACCATGTGCACATCATGCTTGAAGGTGGTATCCTTGGCTAGGCTTGCTATCACCATTGAACATCGTCCTCAAAGCTCGGCTGACCTTCTCTGTTGTCAGCTCACCATTGCAGATCGATTGCACCTGTGGGTGAATCCATCTTGGGATGCCAGCTCGCATCAGCAGGTGCCACCCAGCAAGAAGATCCTTGAGTTGTTTCACCATTGTTTGGTGCCGAACCAGATATGCTTGGAGTTCTTCTTGATGTTCTCGTTGGAATTGTTCAAAGAATTCCTGACATCGCTCTGGTAGTTCAACTTCCTCCTCATGTTGGAAGAGCGAGTCAAGAACCTTGGTGATTGGCTTGAAGTGGTCGTCCGCCAATTCGATGTCATTATATAGTCCAGGCTCTCCATTGCGTCCCAAGCCACGTCTTGGAACTGAGAGAGGATCAAGAAGGCACCCTCGATGGCGACACCAGCTTCTTCGTTGGCATTGTCGGCTGAACAAATCCAACCTTCCCCGGTATGACCTACAGGTCTTCTGCGTCAAGCCTTGTGCCGATGGGGCAGCTTTGGCAAGTCCAGAGTCCAGGCCTCGTTCGAAGCCACCAACTTGCCCTTGTTGTCCTCCATTGGCCGGTGTTGGCCCGTTGGCAGCAGGTACATGCTGCGCAGCAGGTGCAGCGGCAGAGGCCGGTGCGGCCTGTAATCCACCTCCGTTTCCTCCTCCGTCGTTCGAGGCAGGAGCGATGACGAAGTCCAGGAAGTACAGTAGGCCCACAGATGCCCAACTGGGCTCCACCACCAATATCAATCTAGCCAAAGGCAAACACCTGCAAGTAGTTACCAGTTGCCCTGCTAGATCCCAGCCACGCAGCACACGAAGTCTTGCAGCGGCTATCCTCAATTGTCTGTCCCAGGACAGCGGCCATTCGACCTCACAGATTGATTATATCCTCAGTGGACCTGGGTGAACCTCACAAGACAGCGTGAGCATGGATTGACAACAGCATATTACGACTATAAGTCTATAAGATTAAGATGATCTTTTGCAATCTACTGGCCAATTCCTTTCTGCCAAGTCACTCACTCAACTCAGCCCTTTGGCCCCCGCTGAGACAACCCATCATGAACGCCGCAAAAAGGTCTCCAGAGGTTTGACAAATACCTGCAGGGCAGCTGAGAAAACTGCCATGGATGCCATGGTTTTCCCCTCTCAAAAACGCTGGGGAAAATGTCAACGTATCGTGGTTGTTAAATGTTCTTCATCATTGTCATTAATTTTTCCCCATGAGGTTGTCGGATGCTTTTGGCAGCACAAAATCCCATGGCTTGGCATCATCGTTTTCCCCTTCCGCAAATTACCACTCATTCCGCGCCTGCCCAGGTGGCAGAAGTCCAGCCATGTTGTTCCTGCCGTCAGTCACTTCACCCGGAAGGGTGAAGGAAGTTGTTTGACTGCTACCCTCCTATATCTCCTATGTGTCATCATGGCCATGGCTGTCTGTGTTTCATCACCCATCAATGGATTCCTGAAGTTTTTCCAGCCATCAATGGGACCGCAATGTTCATCCCCAGGAGGGCCTTGAAGAAAATGGCGTAAGTGGCCCACTCGATCGCCTAGGCGCCACCAGCTCTTCTTTGAGTTGCTTAAGATCTATTGATCTATGCCAACCCCGATAAGACAGAAAAGCAATCTACCACCATGTTGGCGGAAATTTACTATCAATCTTTTTGGGGAGTATTGAGTATATATAGATCTACTTAATGTAATATAAGTAGTGTACCCTGCGTTGACCCCTTGCCCAGCAAAAGCCCAGCGAAACTATTCGGCAAAATTGTGTGACTTGGAATGAGTGGACCTGTACGTGCACTTCGCAGTGACTGGATCTGAAGACGGATGCCGTGTTTCCATGCACATGTTGGACACGTGTGTTGAAAAGACACCCAGAACATCACCAGTGGATCAAGCAACGTAGCTGGTGGTGTTGTTAAAGCTGCACATCGCCTGATACTGGAGGCAACGCTGGGACAGTCAAGTAAAAACATGGAAAAACAGTTGGCCCTGATTCGGAAACTATACTATGCTCCGGAACTCAGGCCCTAAACAGCACCTAAATAAATCCTAATTCAATTCCAAACACAAGCTAAATGGGCCTAATCCAACTCTAAACCGAACCTAAATAAAGCCTAAACCAACCCCAAATCGACCATAAACCAAATACAAATAAACCCTAGAGCAGGCCTAATGAAGGAGGAACATTTTAACGATGACTTCAAGGTGTGACTTTTGGCTTCAGAAGCGCAGTTGCCGAAGCGAAACCAGCTTTGGTTGCTGAGCCGTGGTTGCTAAGCCGTACTAGGTGAAATTGTTCAGCTTAAGACATAAGGGATACAAATGCATCAGCTACATGGGAGTTGTTCACTTGGTGTATCCAGGTCTCCCAGGAACGTGCCCTGATTGCAAACCTGCATGAAATTGCATGAGCCAAGAAACAAGAAAGTAAGTAGGGTTTGATGGTTTGGGGATGCCGAAGTATATATATATACTAGTACATGCATTGCATTGCATTGTATTGCATTGCATTGCGTTGCGTTGCATTGCATTGCGTTGCATTGCGTTGCGTTGCGTTGCGTAGCATTGCATTGCGTTGCGTTGCATTGCATTGCATTGCGTTGCGTTGCATTGCATTGCATTGCATTGCGTTGCGTTGCGTTGCGTAGCATTGCATTGCGTTGCGTTGCATTGCATTGCATTGCATTGCATTGCATTGCATTGCCATCCATCACATCACATCACGTCGCAAAGCCAAAATTGCATTATATACATTGCATGACATTGCATTACATTACATTGTGTTAACTTACATTACATTACTAAGTAAAGCTTTACTATTGCATTTCATTGGTGTGATCATGCTCCCGGTGTACGCATGGGATTCAAGATGATTCAAGATGATTCAAGCAATCATTGCATTGCCAATTTTTTCCGGGCCACAATCAGGAAGGCTACCAGATACATGTCGCGGCCAAGTCCTTTACCTGGCAGGCGGTGGCCGAGGTTCAGACCAAGGGGAACGTGCCACGCAAGCATACGCAAGCCCAAACTGCCACCAAAATGGGTTTGT